ACTAGACATGTCGCCAGTCCTCTCGTTTTTTTGCTTGCCTGGGGGGGTTTCAATCATCGGAAACCATATTTAAGTTCAGACTGAAAGCTGTCTTTGTATTCACTCAAGCTTTATGCACAACCATTAGGAAAAAACTATTTCAATCAGCTCAAGCATTTAATTTTTAAAGTTTTATGTTTGCACATCAATAAGTCTATCGCAACTTACTTTCGTATTTTTAAATTTCAGCCTCATTCATATTTGTTTTAGCTAGACCGATAAATTCCATGCCAAAAAAATTTACTAAATGATGTTTCCGATTAGAATTATTGCCTATTTAGTTCTTATGATGCGTTCTGGAGGATAATTTTGAACCTTTTTATTGATTCTCTTGGTTAGAAGAATATTGATTCACCCAAATCGACTGACATTATCAACTATTATCCTTAAAAACCTAGGTTTTTATCAGAAAAAGAGGAAAAACAGGATTCATAGTCGAAAAGAGGTGGAAAAGAGGAGGTTCAGAAAAAATAGAGGAAAAAGAGGCGGAGTGGGAAGCCAGGCTTCGAATATTCTTTCTGTTGCTTGTTCAACAACAAGAGTTATTTTTTCTGTGAGTGTTTCGATGACTGGTATTTGATCTATGTTGTCCGTGGTTTTAAGAGCAGGATATTCGTCTAGATTATTCCAGTCGGGACAAGTTTGTGATCATTTAATAAGTTTTGTTGTTGCTGAATATTGATCGATGGTTTTTTTTGTATTTTCTGTTGGTATTCTGTGAATTTTGGACACTCTACCGATGTTGATTGCTGTTGGGATGCTAGTAGTACTTATGATTTGCAGCTCCACATCTCGAACAGATTTGGTTTTCAGATCTACTGTACTTTTCCACATGCCTATATTTGAAACCCTTGTAGCACTAACATGTTTTATTATTATGAGTGAAAGTCATTTTTACTGTTTTGAGAGACTTGTTTTCGCTATTCAACAGGCATGTGATTTTTTGATATTTAAATTCCTGATCATCTAGTGATTGTTGAATATCATCATGGTTGATTAGTTTGTATATTTGAGATTTTAACATGTGATAGATAATTTTTTATGAGAAGGTTTAATTTGACTTTTCATAAGTGCTTCAGTTTCAACTATTAATGGTGAAACTTCAAAACTAGTTTTGTTTTTGTTGTTTGTTGTTTTTCATCAACAGTTCTTGGTATTTGAGATATATTGGGAGTTGATGCCATTGTCCTTGAAATGTCTTGTTCATTTTTTCTACGTCCGTGAACACCCCCGCCTCTTTTTGGCGGCATATTGATTCGATGTTGGTTGCAGTAATACTCAATGATGTATCGGTTAATTCTGTTAACCTTTTCTTTTTTAATTAAATTAAATTGACTTTTCACTCGATTGATCTTTCAGTGCGAACGAGAGAAGAAAAGAAGTGATATGTATATCTAATCGGTAGGGCATCAGAAGAATGAATATCTCAATTATTACATAGAACCAAAGTCGGATTAACTTACTTTAATTGCTTTTTTTGGTCAAAGCGCCATTCCTTTTTGTATTGCCTGAGTATTATGATGTTATTCTGTCTTTTTTGTCCTATCATGATGATTGAGAAAAAAGAAAATAGCGAATTACGGTTCAAGGTCGATAGCTATGACTGTGAAAAAGACCAGGTGTATATCTACGTATATTTTTTTCTCTTCACATAATTTCAATATGTCAATCGAACCTTATTTTTCTTGCATCTCACAATGATAATGTTTTTTTTTTCTCTTCATAATCCCTATGTCCACACATTGAATAGTATTTAAAGAAATCGAATCGACAGAAAGAAATAGAGTAATCAGCTAAGAATCTTCATTCGATACAAAAAAGAAATATAGTACCAAAAATGCTTGCCTACAACGTTGTTGTTTTATTCATGATAACGTATGTTACTGCTCAACAAACTTGTCAGTTAACTGATCCGGATATTCTTGGACCCTACTATCATCCTGGTGCACCTGCATCTAAAGAGCAACTTTGCGCCAATTTACCGGCACATGATCGATTGATTTTAACTGGACAAGTACTCGATTACGAATCGAAATGTGCACGTGGTGTTCCCAATGTGAAATTGGATTTATGGCAGGTAAAGATTCTTGTCGAATTGAAAAAAATAATTCGATTCATGTGTATTACTCTAGGCTAATTACAATGGTGTGTATTCTGGTGGTCAGAATGCTAGTGATTGGTGGTGTCGAGGTATCATTAACACAGATTCCAATGGCAAATTTCGTATTACTACTCTGTTCCCTGGCCGTAAGTGTGACTTGTTTAGAATTATTAGATATATGAGATACTCTAATTCTAAGGTTACGATGACGGTGGTTACCGTCCGGCTCACATTCATTTCAAGGTTACTGCTGACGGTTATCCAACATTAGTAACCCAATTGTATTTCAATCTTGATTATTATCTCTCACCACGTGATTCATGCACACGCTGTAAGTATAATTTCTTGTAATAGAAAAAGAAAAATCTCGAATTTATAAACATTTTTCCAGGTCGTAGTGATGCCAAATCGTTGGTGGTATCAGCCGTACATCGTGATGATATCAAAACGTTCGAAGGTAATTGGAATATTGTCTTGTCGAAAACTCCAAGAGCTGTCTCACGAACGATAACACGTGAAACATTGAACCGAGGCTCGTATATTCACGTGAAAGAACATATCATGCACTCGCGTCGCCCAACAACTATCGGTGACTTACTCAATATGGGACAGTAACAACCATAGATAGAATTGTTGTTTCATGAAAACATTGCCATTATACTATTGATCTGTCTTTTTACTCTAACTAACATATATTCTACTGCTATCGTTTTTTTTTTCTATCAAACATAAATATCTCTATTGGGTCATCTTTATTGTCTTCACTTTTAAATATCAATGATTCAAACCACGTGATGGATCATCGTCCGTATCGTGAATGGGCGACATTGATCGGTATCAAGATGTTGTTTGGTCATAGGTATCTATGATGTGGATGATTGCACATATAGAAATTGAAGATTCCAAATGTTCGATGGGTAAATTGAATATTGCTCTTTTAGCAATACGTTAAATAGGATTGATAAACCATCGTTAGTCGATCGCATCGATAATGTTAATCCAAAACAGATTGATGAAATACTACCACTTGTGATCGATAGATTCTTTGATTTAAAATCGATCACACTATCAGTTGTCAATTGATCGAGCAGTTTTTTTCGGATACATATTCAACTTCGTCAGTTATATTTTATTTGAGAGTACTTATACTAATGATACTCGTCCTGATGTAGACTTGCTGCAGTGCTAATCGAACGATACTCTATCTTTCTTTGTCTCACAATTTTCTCTCCATAATGATCTTATTCAATAACAAGACTTGGCATGGGATGTACTTGGCGTGAAACGATGATCTGATTTCGAATCAAATTAACAAAGTTTGGAAATCAACCTGGAAGATTTGCTAAAGAATTTAGAACGCTGTCAGATATTGACTTGAGATCAATTCTATGAGAAACACAAATTCTCAGCTTGTACAGAATTGGGTGTGGATGACAGGTGTGTGGATGCGAGTGTACGTGAAAAGAAGAGAAACACCCTACATCCACACCCACAAAGAAATATCTCTAATGAGCAAGAGAAATGAAAAAAACATTTTGAGAGTTGACCGTATCATCACGGCTTCTTTTGGAAACGACATTGCAAAAAGCCAAACGAAAATGAAAACTTTCACTGAGATTATAAACTAAAACGTACATCATAGAGAATAAAGAAAGATATCCTAGAAATGAATACTATGGATTCATCAGCAATATTTCATTTTTTAAAGAACATGATATTCGATAAGAATTGAAATTCAAGTTTCTCTTTTTTTTATAATTAAAAAATCAACAATGAATTCATAGTGACTTTTGTGATGAATCTAACTCGATTTCACTATCTAAATACGTTTCTAGAAAATAGAAAAATCTACTAGAACTTCCGATTCTCAAAAGAAAATTGTAGTGATTTTCTACAGCTAATTGTTCTATAACCCGTAACTGATTATAAGTCATAAATAAGTAATAGAGATAAACAAACAAAATTGAATAGTTTCACATTTTTTCTTCAAAACTCAATAAAAATAAATAGAAGTAGCACAAAACTTTCCATCAAAAGATTGTTAGAAAAAAGAAATGAGAATGAAGATATGAGCAATACTTTAGCTGACACAAAGCTGATCTATGTGATTCAATTAATGAAGGAGTAAAGTCTAACGGCAGGCGGGAAATATTTAAAAGAATATTTCGAAAGAAAAACAGTACGTCTTAAACTACCATACTCGAGTTTAAACTTAAGAAAATTACACGAGAGACAACATAGTTTAGAAAAATGAAGAAAAACTAACGCCATTTGCTTTATTTACGGAAAAAGAATTAAGCCTTAAATTCTTCTTCTTTCAGAAAAGAGTAAGCAAATCGTTAGATGAGCGTAACTTGTAATATATATATATTGCTTAACATTGTTGACTGTTAGTGTTATTTGAAAACTAGAAAATACATTCTATTATATCTTAGACACAAATCAACAAAGTTGTTTAAAAGTTGCATTATCGTATAAAAAATATCGATGAGTAAATTATATGATATAGTTACTTATTTTCCACCTTTGAATCAAACACAATTGTTTACATCGACTGATATAAATCAATTTGAGATGTAAACGACAAAAAAAACCTCAATATTGCTTTAAGTCTTTTTCGTGTCTATAATATAAATTTTAGGGCAAAATGTATAGTTATTGTTCGTTTACTAAATTTTATTATAGGACTTTGGTCTAAATATCCATAGGATACAATTCGAGCAATTGACAGTTCATTTTATAATAATAATTTAACAAAATTAATTTTAACTTGTGTATTTAATCGAACATAATTAAGATTTAATATTAATAATGAAGCTGAAATCAATGACAACTCATCTACCTGATCAATTATTACAATTCTTCTATGATATTGCATTTGAAATGACGAAAACTGATTGATACATATAAATGTTGTCTTATCTCATAGAAATTAAACTTATGAATAAAAGTCAATCGGAGATATGAATAAAGATCACAGATCTCAATTCTAGAATTTTTACAAAAAATAACTGCATCTTGATTTAAGACTCCAAAATGATACGAACAGACATCTGTCAACAATATCAGAACTCTACAAAAAAATTCAGCGAGAGCAAGAGAGTACAAAAAAAATCAAAGATTTTGCTAGAAGCTAATCAATATATTGAATACTTAATAAAAACTAATAACGAAATAAAAAAATAGATAAAAAACCAAAAAGAATTCAATGAATTATCAAGAATAGAATATTCAGTTAGTTATCATAAAATTTTCTTTTCACATATTATTAATCATAAAATATTCGAATATAATTTAAGAGTTTAAAATTTAATCAAAGAATTAAATCTGAATTCTGTTCGTTGATCACTTGTATTTACTATTACTCGTAGACATCCTCTTTTACATCATATTCGATTATGAACGAAATCATATCAATCTGAATAAGGGTGTGGGTGAGGGTGTAGGTGTGGGTATGGGTGGGATGTGGGTGTGGGTGTGGGTGTGGGTGGGGGTGTGGGTGGGGGTGGGAGTGGGTGGATGTGGGTGTGGTTGTGGGTAAACAGATGTTTCAAACCGGCACCCACACCCACGCTCACACCCATACCCACACATGCCCGCATCCACATCGACACCCACACCCACATCCACCCCACACCTCACAACCACCCACACCCACACCCAAGATAATTAAGCATAGTACTCTGGCGACAGTTATTATATCACAAACGGGCAAGTTTGCTATATCGGCATCGAACTGTATCACTGGGATCTATATAGCAGAACTATTTCCAACATCGATCCAAAGTACTTCGAATGGCTTTACTGTTGCCGTCAGCCGTCTAGGTGCAATCACAAGTCCTATCATTGATGCTTCGATTCACGAACAATACTTACCCATCACATTCTATGTCTGTGCGGCCTTGACACTCATATCAGTTCTACTGAGCTTAGCCTTGCCTGAAACGAAGGATAGACCATTGGATGATATAATTGAATTTACAAACGATACACATCTTTAAATGTTAAAGAGTTGAAATTGTCAATTTAGCACGAGATATTTCATAAACTCATTCTTTTTGTTAGCTTGAAATGGCGGATTCAAAACCGTTTTGATTAACATGATTCTATGAACCGTTTATAAACATTTGTTCCTTCAGGAGAGTGTGGGTGTGAGATCTGTATGTGACTGTTGCTCTCTCTTTAATAAGTTTCACACTCACACTCCCGAAGCAATACTATTTTAATCAAATTAAGTGAAATCAATAGTTGCGTGAACCAGTCATTACTATGTTCAAAGTTTGACACTTAACAAATATTTATATTATTTATCATATATAAACAATTCTTAAGCGCATATAGATATTAAGATTTTTTACCATAGAACTTATGATTCGTTTACTTTTCTGAATAAAGTTCGATTAGAAATTTTTCAAGTACACATAAGCAATTGAGGAAAAAACAGTTGCCTTTTACTGATGTTATTATATAATTATTTTAGTTTAAAAATGTAAACAATTGATTTTAAGCTTTTCAACATCTTCTACAATGTTTATATGAAATTGAACTATTTTTTTGAAAATTGCATTAATAATATAAAGAAGTGTAAATTATGCAATTGTAGATTTTTCTTTAAGATTTAGTAGTACTTATTTGGTGTAATCTACTCTACCTGAAAGCATAACTTTAGGCACAGTTGCAAATGATCTAATCCAACTCGGACTGGTCGTTCTTCATCGGTTGGCATATATTTCACATATATATATATAACATTTTTTTCTTTGAGAAAACATGTTGAAGTGAAGGTTGAGTATACTTATCAAAACAATCGAACACAATCATTTTCATTTTGAACTATTTGGCTGCATGCACACTCATCAAAACAGTGTTATCTGAGTTAAGCTTCTCAATTTACTTCGTTGATGTCTATCAAAACATCAAATTTAGTTATGGGTCGTGATTTGAATAAAAAAGCTACGGTTCTCTGTGAAACTTAAGAGCCCCTCGGAAAATCCGCTTTTTCGAGAAAAGCTGAAAGTTGACTTTTTACCATAGGAAGATGCAGTGAAATTTCCTCTTTCTGAATATGTAAAGATTTTTGAAAAATGACCAAATTTTAACCGACTTTCAAAGAAAACTCAACCTTACTATCGTGATTTTTCAGAACTTTCTATGGTTTTTAAAGGTTTTTCAGTTTTGGGAAAACTGCGTTTTTATTTGTGTCATCATTAAATCAATCATTATATTTACTTAAGTATGACCGATAGTGACAGTTTAACTGATTTGTTAAGTGCTTTAAAAAGTTTCAATGATACATATTATGAATCTGTCATTTTAATCCGATTTTTTTTTAATATTTGAATGAAAAAATCGAGTTTCAAAGTTTTTTTTATCGTTTTTCTTAAAATATGGTTTCCAAGCAAGAAAATTGAAATAACTTCTATCCGACTCAACGGTATAATCGATGTTTTGTTTTCGTAAATGTCTGAATGAGAGTGTTTCTCACTAGGGCCACTCATTTCTGAAAGTTTCAGCCTAAACAGTTTCTTCTAAGTGGTAAATCAATTCTGAGAAGAGGGAAGGGCCTTAAGTGAAAAGAATTCAAGACTTAAAGTTGAGTTATCACCTGTTGAGGC